AACCATCCAGACGCCTGCCATTTGATATAAATAAATAAATGTTCAAATGATTTGCATGCTGAAAAATTTTAAATTAGGTCACCATGCCACGGACAATATATAAATAACCCCAAAGTACAAGTACTTGTCACCACTAAGGAAGGCCGTTTAGTACTCGGTTTAGCGGGATAAATAATTTTTCAGCATGATTAAAAATAATGTCAATAAAGAGGTTAGAAAATACACGAATAGCATTGGAATTCACCTTATTGGCTGCATGCATGCCAATTCTAGCACTCGCAAAGTGAATTGCATCTTACTTCACTTGAAATTAACTTCATTTATTTAATTTAAACCAAAAAGTGATTGTGTGCCTCGGTTGGTTAAAGTAAATTCACAAGGAGAAGCAAAATTATTGGGTAGGTAAAAGAGTGATCGAATCTTATGGGGAGGGTTGAGGTGGTGGGGGGGGGGGGGGAAGAGAGGGGAGGTGGATCGCTTGATCTACTTTCAATCCAAGTCCCAGTTTCTAGAAATGTCATCAGAAAGACTAGTTAGCGAATTTTCAATCGACAATCTTCAGGAAATTCCTGTGTTTTGCATTGCCTCCTGTCTTTCAATTACAAATTAGCTTTTGACAAGACAATTAGGAGGGGAATGATGCTTGCTAACTCAAGTAGAAAAATAAGACATTTCAAATAATTCTCTAATAGTGTACCAGAAAACTATCTAAAATATTCTTTGATATTCTTATAAGAGAAATACAATTAATAGTTATTTATTTATAACAAATGGCAGGCGTTTTGATAGTTATCATTAGGCCTTTAGTTGACTTCGGGCTTCACAGAGGGGAGGAGGAACATCAAAGTGAGAAGAATTCAGGAGGGGGAATAGAAGGGTGTTTCAAAGATGTAAAAGAAACAGACACAAAGGCTCAGAAAGGGTAAGATGAGTAGTGGTAGGGGTCGAATATGACATACAGTGGGGGTGATGGTTGTTTGAAGTGAAAAGTCAACTGCCGATTAATAGAATTTTTTGCCGCATGAATATACGTTGCCCAGGGCGCACTACGTGGAGGTAAGTCTATCACGAACCCCCCAATGTCAACGTTATCATCTCATTTTGTTTTTATTTCACTCGCTAGAAATGCCTCCCCCCACATTCTCAATAAAAGTCCCATTTAGAATACAAAGTATGATTTCAAATGCTAGATATATGATTGGCCTGTGCATACGCAGGTGTCGTTACGGTATTGGAGTGTTCGGCTGCTAAGCTGAATAGGCAATGAACTGAGTTAGCAGAATGTGATCCACAATAGGCCTACAAATCGCTATGAGTAGTAAAAGAAGCTTTGGCTAGATGAGATGAATTGGCAAAGACTTTCATAAATCATTCGAATGCACACTTCAGAGTAAACAAAGGCTTGGGTACAGAATGCATCGACTCCAGTGTGCAAGAAGCGACAGAGACATTTCTCTTCCAAGTCACTGAAGCACTGGCAAACTCTAGCAGTAAAGTCAGATACTACCAGTGACTGTCAGATTACAACAAATCGGTTATAAAATTGACCCACAATAAGATGGATAGATTTATATCGTTCGCGAGTTGATAATAAACGCCCACGAAAGTTTGTAAATGTCTTGGTTACTTATTACCCGAAGGAGCGAATGTAGTGCAGGCACCAATTTCACTATTTACCGGATCAGAACCCCGAGACGCGATACTTCTTTCCACTAATTACTGCGCAGTTGTTACGCAATGTGCTGAGTCAGATCAGTGGACTTTATGCGTAGGAAGATAACAAATTACTGCCTCAACAATAGTCCTTTCATTGCTAACAGCTGTTTAGTCCCATGTTAATTTGACAAAACTAGGTAAAAAGCACGACTGCACGTCAAAGAGGAAGAGAGGAAGAGAAAAAGAAGAAACCAGGCAGCTCTGATTGACACCTTCAAGGTTTGATGGCCTTCTGCTTTTTGTTATTAACACCACCCACAGCACAGCCTAATTAGTGCCTTTTGTTTGTGTGTGTGCGTGTGTATGTAAGTGTTGCTATTCCACCAATTAAAAGTTAGATTGATTTTCAGGCAAAAAGTAGGGCTTACTTTAAGAAACTGCAATTTGTCGCACCTTGATGGTGACCTGAAAATTACGCTCTGCGTCCACACACACGCACACACACACACACACACACAAATATTAGTGGACCTTGGTGATGGTGTTGGCTGTGGAGTAAAATTGCTAAAAGTACTCCCACACGATCTGGATTGCATTCCAGATTTAATAGCAGTTTATTTCACTTGAATCTACCATAGATAAATTTAGATTCACTATTCCAATGGACTAGAGTAAAGAGAATCTCTCAATATAAAAGATCATGAGTACTACTTTATCACGATGTGGACCATATGAAGTGTGTTTGATAAAAGCGTTTGAACATTCCTTTCGAAAACTCCGATCGAGTAATGGTTGTATTCTTTTAATTTGCCACAGCTTTTCATCGAACCATCAAAGAAGAGTTTCGTTTTCATAGGATATGCGCGGCAATAACATCAATGTTTTTCAAAGGATACTCCAAGTGCTCCTCTTAGACAAAGACGAGGGACCCTGGAGTCGACGTGGTGACAATCACGACATCCGATACCCCCCCTCCCCTCCCCCTCTTAATCAGAGTGACAGACTATTCCGTCAACTTCGGGTGAACCGGTGGCATGGAAGCCATAATCTCTAACTTTGAAGGAGATTGAGTAAGCGGTTGCATAGTTGACTCAACGGAAAATACTCCCCAAAAGCTGATTGTGGAATCTATCTCAAATCGGGAAAAACTGCAAAACCTTTCGAGCGATTTCATAAAGTTTATTTTCAACATTTTAATTTCGGGATATTCTAATCTTGCATTTGTAAGAACTAAACAAACACTCTCAGTTGGGCGTGCCACTTTTATTATCCCTGATATCACACGACAAGAAACGAACACTTCCAGGTTATACAGCTTGACATTTGTAAAAATTATGCATTTCCCCTATTACTCTCCCGGGTGGAAATTGTGAAATATAAATAATGAGTATAACACACAGCCAAAGCAATCAACAACTTACGACTTATTTGGTCGAATAAATCGTTGATAATTAGTTGGATTTGGGGAACTGACAGTTTGGCAAGGGATTGAGACGATAGCATTCCATCCTCCGTTTCAATTACTCCAAGCTAAACAAAGGTAGAAGATCATATTTACCGCAGTTAGTTAATGGCTCTGCCCACACACACACACACACACACACACACACACGCACACACACACACACACACACACTATTTATGTAGTTATTTTAAATTTAATGGAATTAGTTTCTCACCAGTTCAGACGTTGTTGCAGAGAGAAAGTTGACTTTAATCAGCTGTTTTTTGATCTAGACGAAGAAAAATAGGATTACCTTAAGGTAAACGCTTTTATTAAAGTTCGAAGTTATCCACTAAAGTAGTCACGTGTATTTTGTCTTCCTTCAAAATAGGTTCAATAGTTTATTGGGTCAAAGTTTGTTTGCTATTTATTTGTGCACCCTAAAAACACCAGTGGTAGAATGTAAGAACCTAGCCATCAGAAGGTGATTAAAACAGCTGAAACTTGGCTACACTAGGCCAAAATACAATGATTTAAATTTTAAAATTAGATTGACGATTTGGAAAGTCAAGGGCAGTAAGAGGTCCTATTGCACTATCTCTGCACTTATCCTAACCTTTGTCCTGCAATCAAACAAATCACTTACTACCCTTATTTAAATGCTTGTTTATAATTGTAATTTGCGGGGTGTGCGGTAGACTTACCTCCACGTGGTGCACCCTGGGCAACGTATACTCATACGGCAAAAAGTCTACAAACCGGCAGTTGACTTCTGACTTCAAACTACCATAACCCCACTGTATGTCATACTCGACTACTTCCACAGTACTCAACTCACCTTTTTACTACCTTTTCTACCTTCGTCTTTGAAACACTCTTCTGCCCCTCCCCCTTCTCGACTTTTTTCACTTTGATGTTTTATCTCCTCTGTGAAGCCTGAAGTCAACTAAAGGGCTAATGATAGCCATCAAAACGTCTGCCATATGATATACAATAATTGTAATTTGCCATTTGTCGAATCAATGTTAGTAAAATCTGTGAATCTGTCTGAACCTACAATGGACCTAGCGAAATGAGGAAACTATATTGGACTTTTAATCCATGAGAGGTATCATATGAGCACACTAAACTTATTCAAAATAATTAAGACTAAAAACGCCTCCTTTAAACAAATAAATTCATTTAAACAAAGGGGTTAATTCGATAAGAAATTCGTTTATTTTTTAAGTCTTACTTCCTACATCAGATCAAATATCATCGATATATCTCGGGAAAAAAACTAGAGACCGCTGTGAATACAAAAAACGCGGATAAATGAATAATAAAACGTTGATGAAAATTTTCCTACCTTTTTATTCCAATATATCTGCAAATTATAGTCTGATAAACACCTAGCAAGGTTTTCGATATTTCTAATGTGAACTTGGTGTACTTTTCACAATTTCGAGGTGGTGTTGCGCAGATGACATTTGCCTTCGGAAAGATCTGAAATTTTGACCTTGTTAAAAGTTCGTCTACACTGGAACTTTTATTCCCTCTACTTAAGGGACGAATTAGCAATCTTATATAAGCCATAAAAAATTGATGCACTTTATGTGACCTTAGTGATATAAAAAAAGAAGACGAAATCTTTACACAACGAAGACAGACCATACAATTACAGAGAAATTGTATTGATATATAAGCTTGTAAATAGTATAACAAGTCTTTGTTCAATCTTGAAGTTGATGGCTGACGTGATAATTTCAACAGATTGGAATGTGTCAGATAGAAGTGGGCGGCTGTGTAGCATAGCGTTTATCTCCTACGCAAAATGTTATGCGAAATAATAATGGGGCTATAAGTGCTTCTTACCTATTGAATGGGCATATTAGTTGTATCAAGAATAAGAGAGAACAAGACAAGAATGCGGGATCATTGGGTGAACAGAGCGGCCTTTTTAAACTGGATTATGGTTTCATAAGGTGGTAAATTTTGATTGCAATGCAGACACAGTGCACAGCGCCATGATTAACGCTCCGGAATTTCTTGAGTGAAACTTTATCCCCACAAAGTCACTATCATATAACCTTGACAAATAGGTTGATCTAAACAGCCCAGCACAGTTAGATTATATGAAAACGTTTCTGAATCATGCAAAGGTCCTAAAAATTTGCTCACTCTGAACTATGAAATGCTCTCAGCGGTTCAAATTATTCCTCATGATCGTAACAAATATACGAATAAGTTCCTTTGATGGTGAAAAGTATCCACTTCAACGCTGAAATATGTATTATCCTGCCTCATGTGTTCGCACTTAAACCACGTAGGGTAAAATAGAAACCAGTACATTCACCCCCTCCACAAGACTCTAACATCAAAACAATGGTTGATCGATGCAAAAGTTTTGATTAGATTAGGGAGACTATTATGTAGACCCAAAATGCGAACATTAAGCATACATCCTGACCAAAGAATAAATGTAAATTGACATAAATCAAATAATTTCAAGTAATTACTCATATAACCTTCTAATGACACTACAACATAATGGGGGAAAAACAGATCTCTACCTATCTACTAAAATCATTAATTAATAAAGGGAGAAAGACGACTTAGATATGCCTGAAAGATACCCCACCCCACCCACCCCCACAACCCACCACCACAAAACCATTTGTTAGCTTGGAGGTCACAAGAACCAGTGCTGCGTTGACTGCCAAGGAGGTAAAAAAATTGGAAACCGCTTCTTGGTCAAGCGCATTTAAAACAAAACTTTAATTTTGGAACAAAAATAATAAAACCGAAAATTTAGGCAGTAAAGCAGTCAGCCTTCATGAAAAAAATTTTCGCTTGTTAGTATGTGCAATAAGACATACACAATGCCACCATGAAAAGGAATATACGACTATAATCGAAGTTAAATAAAATATATGTTCCGAAATTATTTGCAGAACAGGATTAAAAAAAGTAGAGGAAAGGTCGAATACAAGGAAACTATGACTATGTATTTCAAAAAATCTTTTTTTTTCTATATATTTCGAATATGTCTAAGCAAAAGAATTCGGTTAATTTAATTTATTGAGAAGGAGATGAAATCGTGAATGTAGGGAATTGCTAGCCCCGGGCATTTGACATTTCCAAGGTGTGGTTTTTGAAATGTCAGCTCCGTACACAGAAAGTATAACGGTTCAATTTATGCCACTTCGCCTACCTTGCTATTTGACGAGGTTGTTGTTATGGTGGTGGTGGTGGTTGCGCGGTCATTTTTACCGATATCCGAAGTTGCCTCACTCTCTTCAGCCATCGATTGACCATCACTTGCAAAATCTTCGTCTTCATCATCGTCATCGTCAGAGAATTCAGTTCCAAAGCATATTCTGAAGTACCTTGAATTGTTCTTCTAGGAAAATAATAGATTTCAAGGCTCAGTTTAAGTTTAAATTTAATCACCGTGAGCTAATTTAGGTACCATGAATACTCACAACTGAATGTGGATAACTCTTTAAAGAAAATCTAAATAACGACTATTCACAACTTTTCATTACAAACAGAAGGCCTGAAATGAGATTAGTAATCGGCTCATCGAAAATCAATACACACGTGGATACAGAGTGGTCGAATTAATTCAAATGCAGTTGTCCTACCATTTAAATCTTTACAAATCGAAATTCATGCTTATGTTTAGGAAGAGATTCCAGAGAAAGGCTCCTTCGTCCTGGCTAAGCTGTGTTAAGAATAAAATTAAAAAATTAATTAATAAAATTAAATTAATGCAAAAAAAGCATTTGATGGGGACTAATGCGTAAAAGGTGGACCTTTTAGGTAATTTGTAAAAAAATAAATTGCATTTGCAAATACAATTTATTTTACCACTAAATGGTGATTTTAGGGATTGAGATAATAAAAAACAAAAAACGTATACCAATCACAATGCACTCATTTTTTATTTCCAAGTCAAAATGGAAGTAAACATCTACTTACAAATAGAAGAGAACAAATGGCAGGATTCTAGAAAAAAACTCAGGTATCGGACAGCAAAAATTAAAAAAAAACTTGTAATTGGTGAGTACTGCATGCTTATTTGCATAAAATAATATGCATATAGGTGAAAAGTGTAAACAGGCAAACCTTTTCAAGAGTTCTCGGATCGAAATCCGCTGCCATTGATTTGGGGAATTCAATTGAAAGCCTAATTGATTTCCTATCGCCCCAGTTGACATTTCGTTTCCTTGGCTTTAAAAGGATAAGCACTACTTTATCATTTGCCACTCAACTCCAAATAAACATCATAATAAATCAGAATTAAAAAGATTTGCATTCATAAATTATCACTTCCTATTAGTATTAAAGCAATATATACTGAATTAGATATTTCATTAATTTGGGTGTGCGATTGACTTACCTCCACGTGGTGCACCCTGAGCAACATATACTCATTCGGCGAAAAAGGCTATACACTGGCAATTGACTTCTTGACTTCAAACTGCCATGACCCCACTGTATGTCATCTTCGACTACTTCCACAGTATTCACCTCACCTTTTTTCTACCTTTGTGTCTGTCGCTTTTACATCTTTGAAACACTCTTCTGTTCCATCCCCTCCCCCAGCCCTCTCGACTTTTTTCACTTTGATGTTCCTTCCCCTCTGTGAAGCCTGAAGTCAACTAAAGGGCTAATGATAACCACCAAAACGCCTGCCATTTGATATAAATAAATAAATATTTCATTAATTAAAGCCGGGCAAGGTAAATTGCATGATTAAAACAAATAGTGTTATAAAGTAGAAATTACCTTCGGAAGTGGAGATTCATTTATAGGAGTCTTGTCGGACTTATCGTGTAGTAACACTTCCTGCGTAGTCTTCACATTGCCGACAGTATAGAATTCACTGTCGGATCGAAGTAGTGAGGACTCGGTTTGACCATAGAAACTTTCTGAGGTGAGCATGCATGAGGAGATTACGCTGTCGCATTCACCGTAGGAAGACTATAAGAAGACAGCAAAGTAGGATTTTTAATAAGTTGTCTTTGATCAATGTCACCTATCAAGCGTCATTTACCCTCCCAGCCCCCCTTTACCTTTACAAAACCTCCCTAGCTAGTTAAAAAGGCATTTTAGAGCAACCTCGATGGGTCAATCTCTCTCCCCCTTTCTCTCTCTGTACCTAATCGATCTGGATTATGCACCGTAATGATTCATTGATAAAATGAATCCGAAAATCTTACAAAACTTGATCTTAGCGCTAAATCAAAGTAAATTCTTAATTGCTCATTTGCTGCCAATTCCCTTGTGTTATAAATACGCAATTTTAGAAAGAAATTTGTATTTGTGCTCTCAAATTTTGCGTCACATTTTAAATGCTCACGTTGTGGTTTGACAACTTTTCAGCACATAAAAAAACGACTCATTCCATATTCCTGTTTAATTAACTTGTAAAATTAGTATGCATTAGCATTAGAAAAAACGAGCTTGAGGTCGGAAAAGTCTATTTAACTTAAGGACATACAAAATGTAATCCTAAAAAAATGAAAACTTCATCCAGTAATTGGGTCTTTTAATTATTAAAATAATTAAATAAAATGCCTGAATTGCAATAAACTCATCCGAGGAAAATAATAGTAATATCAGAAAAGTCTGTTAATTGAGTAAAACTTATCCATCCTAAAATTATAGAATAGATGACACTTGCTTAATCGATAAAGCGATAATTCAGTGAAATGTAGTGATGCCAAACACTATCTGAAAAGTGCTTTCATCTTGTGATTTCTGGCTTGGTAGACAATCAGATGCGACAACAAAAACAGGCCTTCCATAACTAGAAATTTAATAATTAAAGCGTTAATTAAAACGGGGTGTGCGATAGACTTACCTCCACGTGGTGCACCCTGGGCAACGTATACTCATACGGCAAAAAGTCCATTAATCGGCAGTTGACTTATGATTTCAAACTACAATTGCCCAACTGTATGCCATATTCGACCACTTTCACAGTACACAACCTACCATTTCTCGGCCCTTGTGTCTGTCTCTTATACATCTGTAAATCACTACTGTGAAGCCCGAAGTCAGCTAACGGGCTAATGATAACTATCAAAAGCCTGCCAATTGAAATAAATAAATGTTAATTAAAACCCTTCATTTAATATGCATTCAAAAAGCACTGTCTCTCCTTTTTCTCAGACTTTGGCCTAGTGGAATCTTTAGCCGGCAATGAAAATCAAAATAATTCCGTAATAAAGCTCGTCTTTTTATGTCAGTAGCAAAATAACGTTCCCTTAAAATTGGGAATAAATGGTTGTCCTCAGAATTTCAGTTCACCAAAGCCTGATGCAAGACGTGATTTGAGCGGGGTATGGTTAAATGAGAAATCCATAGCACTAAGCTATTAACCAAAATCCGATTAGTTAGCTAATTTTGACTTTTTTGGCATTCCAAGTCACAGTAGAACCAATTAACCACGACTTATCTCTCAGGTTTCAACTAAATCCCACTTTCCTACAATTAGATGTCTCGACTAGTCCATCGTATGACCATACACACATGGGGTTTAGGTGTTTGGCGTGTAACTAGCTTAGCAGGCTTTGAACAGAGGGGAAGCTTTCCTCACATTTTGCGGGTAAGTATGATTAATATTTGCACACTCTGTCGTGCCAGCGTGATTACTAAGCCACTAGACAACCTTAACCCACCCCACCCCACTCCACTCCGACCCCAATCCCGTCTTAGTAAAACTTAACCACACAGGGAAAGGAGATGAAAGGCGCACATTTTAACTGCGCACAGTCATCGGCCCTCTCTCTCTCTCTCTCCCTCCCTCTTTGTGGCTTGTAAAGAGGGAAATTAAAAATAATTGGCAACGATAAAATCGCACCTGGATTGTGTCTATTCGGTATTCAGCAACAGCACAAATGCCTTATGCTTATCCCAAAAAAAGAAAAGAACTCCCAAGCCTTTTAAAAGTGTTCTAGCCTAATAGGGAGAGTGTGATGCCCTAATGGTGAGAAGTTGAAACACTACCACTATCTTCGCTTTGCCCAACTATAACAGAGCGGTCGATCATTCAGCTTGCAGAGTGCGCACCAGATGGGTGTCAGATCCATGACCTTTGTAGACCGTAACGTCATTGGCAATTAGGATGACACCTTAGGTGAGAAGTACCTCTATTGTCTGGGGTGTGCACCCTGGGCAACGTATACTCATACGGCAAAAAGGTCTATTAACTGGCAGTTGACTTCGACCTCTTTCACAGTACTCATCTTACCTTTTATCCGCCCTTGTGCCTGTCTGTCTCTTTTACATCTGTGAATCAATCTTCTGTTCCCCCCCTCGACTTTTGACACTTTGATGTTCCTACTTCCCTCTTTGAACCCAGAAGTCAGCGAAAGGGCTAAAGATAACTATCAAAACGCCTACCATTTGCTTTGATAGAAAGTAAGCGTAAATATAGCTCAAAACCCATAATCAGGGATAAAACACTGGACCCCTACATAATGAGCTAGTTGGTCACATTATCGATCGATAATTGTTAAATTGATCAGGGGCTAGTGCGTTACGATAAATGTATGACGTTTCTTTTAATATATCGCATCTATTCTGCGTACACGCTTTCTAGTGTTCAGAAAACTCGATAATAGTGAAATCTACACAATTTTGACAGATTGATTTAGCTGTCAAAAACACATTGCTATATAAAAGTAGCAATGGCAAGGTGGAATTTAGAAATAGTCGCATATAAAAAAAGTTGTCAAAATATTATATTTAACTGGGCTAAAAACAGAGAACTCGACGTAGATTATAGATGCAGAAAAATACCCTATCGTGTAAATTTCCACATCAATTGCGTAATGTAAAAGAGGCGGGCTATTGCACTTTGTGGCTTTATAAATTGTAAGTGTTTAAATCAGATTTGAATTCTATGGCCTTGAAATTAGGATTGAACTGATTTGTTTCATAAAATTATTTTCATCATAAGAATATGGAGCGATAAAGACATTGGTTAGAATTTCCTAAATCCAGGTATGAAAAGTAATTACTCTTCGCTTTAAATTCACATTGCCCATAAATAGCCCTCTCCAATTTCAATGCTTGCAATTCGATGACCTCTGGGGGTCCTTATACGGAGTTATTTGCAAATCACTATCATCATTAATTCATGCCCAATGTTCAGGACAAATTATTCTGCATCTGCATTGGTTGTCCAAGATGTTTCAGTTTGGATGAAAAAGGCGTTCCTTTGGCAGAAATTCCATAACCCAAAATTTAAATATTTGAAGATGATCATGCAAAATACTACCAAAAGGACCTTGGATCTTGAGGCAGAATTCCGCCCCCCCCCCCGTTTTGGTAAAAATTTGTCGCCACACGATCGCTTGGGCCAAATTTCATCACTTTAGAGGAATTTAGATAAGTAAATTTCGGAGTTATTTTTTTCGGACTGACAGAGAACCGCCTGGTTCAATGCGTACCTAACACTGCCCCCACATAACCGCCCCAACACATCAAAGCTTACGAAGTATTTAACTAAACCCCACAAATTCTGTCAGCAACGACCTTACTTACATAGGCCATAATATTTTGTTAACGGAATTTACACCAAGGGTTGCAAATACCTTTGCAGATAATGTACTTGCTATTTGCAGTCAACACGGTGTGGCTGAATTGAAAGGGGCACTTCTCCTATGGGAATTTTCTGCCTTCTAAATGTTCAAGAATGTGTCAAGCTATCGGAGGCACCTGTGCATTTCGGGAATGCAATTATTCAAATGCAGCCAAGAGGTCGTCAACTTAAACTCGAAGTGCCAGATTAAATACAACTTCAAGCAAATGCCCCAATACATCTTGTGGACCCTCCTTTTTATAAAAATACAAACTATAAAGCTGGCGTTTCTATTCAAACATAATGTGCTCTTTGAAGTTTTTAATGAATAAAATGAATTGAAATTTGACAGTCATAGAAATGACATTTGACAACATTTCAGGCAATAAACGAAGTAAGATTAGTTAGGATACAGATGCTACCATAATTTGATTATATACAATTCATCTTCACGAATTTCACCTTCTTTGAAGCCAAATAACCCTTCTCTTCTAAACGAATATCTTAAGGCGCTCTAAGAGAGAACAGCCAAAATTCGCAAATTCAAAATTTTCTTGATAATTTCATTCCAAAATGGGACTATTTGTGGCTACTGTTTACAATTCGGGTGATATAAACGAAATTCCGATTCGTGACACAGTGCGATCAAATGGAGGTCTCGCAGACGGCGGTAAGGTAGAAATGGGGACAGTTAATTGAACTTATATTTCATAAATAACTCGTAATTTTCAAACACACGAGAATATGAATAAGCAAAAGAATTTGAACTTCGTTTCCGATGATATGATTAAAGTGAAATTAAATTCAAATGTTTAATTTGTAGTCGCTTGAAGCAATGACTCATTGGCATTTAATGTTTAACTAAATTCCATTATATTTGGTTTCGTTTTAAGTGTGATTTTTTGTTGCCATCGAAGACGTAAGGCCTATTTCAGTGATAGTCTTCCACCAAGTAGAAAGTGCTTTCCTTGCGCCTTAACACCTATTAATTATTAAGAACACTATGTTCCCAAGGAATGCGTTTGAAGATAATGAGGAGGGGGTGGGGTGGAGGATACGTCCTCTTAATGCAGCTCTGAATACGATGTGGTGGTGGTGGTTAGAATAGGAGATTAATTGCATTGAATGCATCAACAAGGATAATATGCCGAAATGTAGGTCCCAGCTTGCTATGATTTCATGTTGGACCCAAAACTACATAGCAAAAGGTAAAAATGTTGTCTAGTAAATGCTTGTAGGCAAAACAATACGCAAAACGCTCACGTGAACTGCGAGGGGCAGTAACTCTACAATTTCAACAAAATTTATCCGAATATTCGAGAATAATTTTTCGATATGACTCAACAAAGCATGAAAAGAAGATGATCTATGAATATAATTCCTTCAATTTCGTAGCTGACCAATAGAAGCTAATGAGGATGAATAATGTAAAATATCTGTACTCCAATTAATGACTATAATAATAACTTGAATTAAAGTTTTTAAGCTCATGTGTTCTCAAAAGTTCATCTGAAATGTACCTCCAAATTACCTCCGCCATCAACAAGCAGTTTCGTAATCCGCATAATTTGGCTCGTATTGTTGGTAGGTATCATTTATGATGCCAATATAACGAGGTTATCTAGATAAATCGATAGAGCAGAATGTGATTCCACAGTTCTTGTCTATCACTTTGAACGAGTATCAAAGTGACAATTCAATAAATATGATCTAAAATTTGGCATTATTTGTACCATATCTATGGCCAAATAGAGCTTTTGTTTTAATCAAGGCTCTCAGGAAACATCTCATCGCCAGCATCACTTTATATATATATATATATATATATATATATATATACACCAATTCTTTTGTTTTCCACTTTGAAAGGCATCAACAGGGTGGACAGGCTACAGAAAAAATTTTTTTCGTAAACAAAACAAAAATAAAAAAAGGGTTATAAAGGCCACGCATCTACAAGTCCTGGATTATCTGATAACACAAACTTTTTGGAAATAGATATTTTAGGAGGTGACAGATAGAAATGAAAAACGAAATGTGCACTCTCCAAGTTATTTGACTTAGCAAAGATGTAAAAATAAGATAGCGAGAATAATGCAGCATGAAAATATACGTGAAATTGCTTGAATAAAATGGCAAACTTGAAGTGAGACCACTTTGCTAAAGTTGTACTAAGATTAAGGAGACAAATGTGGCTGGTTTCAATGAATCAGAGGGCACCCATGAATATTGCGACGAAAGGAAACAATTTGGAAGCCGTAGGATATTAGGAAAGGTGCTCCTTCTTGTAATGATATCAATGGTCATTGAATATGATAAAACAAATGTCTTGGCAACCTTATTGATGGCACAATTAGGCCTCCCAGTGTACATTCTTGGCGAAGATAGAGCCAATATGATTGTAGAATTCAAGTGTAAGGCTAATACCTTTCCAATTGCATGAACCCAGCTACCACTAGCCAGGAGCCTGGAGTTTGACGGCAGTGCTCACAACAACATAGATGCTAGGTACTGGAATGGGGAGGTGGGGGAGGGGGGAGATGGAAGGAGAAGCGAGGGGTGAGTCCTACAGAAGGTTGAATTGAGTACAGAAGTTGTACACAAATTGATACCCAAATCACAATGGAGTAAAAGGAATAGAAGTATTACCAATTGAACACAATGTTGAAAATAACAAATCTCGGTTTAATTATCAATTATGCAATCCATCACAACATCAGTCGAAGGAGGGCGACTTCCCATGCAGTTGTCCAGTGTTATAGATGTGAAAAAAATTCGAATCGGACCAATTCAAGATTGTACGGTAGAAAAGAATATTTCCCAGGCTACACATGAATTTCACACGTGTTAAATTCCAACACCTTCTCAGTATGTGAAAATAAGCCTGGGGATTAAGGTAATATTAGTCATCAGAAGTCAGCGATGAACATCAAAGTGCATAATTTAAGGCTCTGAAATTTAACAAAATTGACAATAATAATATATTATTATTATTTTAACTTTGAAGTGTTCCTTTGCATCGCTCTAACTACATAGGCCCTGAATGTGACAGTTTTTTGTTTGTTGAAAATTAAAGAAGTCGTGATAAATCAAATCAATAAGCACTTAATCACAAAACAAAGATAAAGGAATTTCTGTGGGTGGCTACTTTCAGTGCCTTGATCTCGTTTAGGTGAGCCAATTCAGTCCACTAGAAGTAAACCACATAAAAGTATGCACTGTGGAAAAGGCAATGAGTACTTCCAAGGCAATTGCTGACTCACAGTTAGGGTAGGACTAGACTCCATATCCTTCACTTTGCGATTGGTAGGACTTCCAATTTGTGTTTTTCTATCACAGGGGAGTAGAATATTGGATTCTTGCATAAGAGTGTCACCCGGTACTCGTTTATGGGGGAGGGGTGAGAAGAGATGACCTCCGACCACAGCGTGACCCCGCTCTAGGTAAATGGCTACTGGCGGAGATGTTGACATTTTGTCTTCCATCCGATGGGACTTAGTAGTAGGACCTAATGGAATGGAGAATTTTATGAAGATGAAATAAGTACAGAATTTAGGTTACAATTTGTGAACAGGTAATGTCAAATATAATCTCTGCACATCTGCTCACCCCAAGTGACAAGTTGGTTAATTAATACCAACTGAATGTGAGTTTCCCAAATGAGCTACTATGGACATCTTCCATCTATCCGAATCAAGTTCTGTGAGCTATTTCGGTAATGGATGTGACAGTTTGTCGTTTCCACTTAGCTGTACATTCCTGCACACCAAGAGTCAGTAAAAATCAGCTAATCGATGAAATGATAACCGAAAAATTTAGTTCAATACTTTATTATAAAGCCAATTAAAATTAGAATAAAGTCTATGGAAGAAGGTGTGGCCAGTGGGTTTTCTGAACTTACTCCTTGCGTAATTGAAATGGGTCACAACATTCTTTCCCAAATTAAAATCGTCCTAACCAATTGCGTGAAAGATTTTGGATCTTTTCTTACCTCTGTCAAACAAAGTGACAATTTATTAAACAGATATTCAGTTTTATGAAGAACAAGGGTGGGATTGTGCGATAGACTTACCTCCACGTGGTGCACCCTGGGCAACGTATACTCATACGGCAAAAAAAGTCAATAAAGCGGCAGTTGACTTCTCACTACTCTGACTGGACTATTTGTCATATTCAACCCCCTTCACAGTACTCCCCTCTCCTTTTTCTCCGCCTTTGTGTCTGTCTGTCTCTTTTACATCTGTGAATCACTCTTCTGTTCACCCTCTCGACTTTTTGTCACTTTGATGTTCCTTCTCCTCTCTGTGAAGCCCCGAAGTCAGCTCCAGGGCTAATGATAACTATCAAGCTGGCTGCCATTTGGCATATACATGAAGAACAAAGGAATCCAACATCTTAAAGTTAGTATGCGTGCATGTGTGGGTCATAGTCCTTGCGTAATTAAGTGTGGTATTCTGTTCACAAAATAACCTAAAAGTATGTGGTTCATTATAAACCCGATATTAATCTTTCTAAGCCTCCCCCAAATGTCACTTACCAACATATCTGGACCTCTAAAGAAATTTAAATGCAGCCAAGTGTCAATGTTGATGAAACCTTAAAGTCGCACACACACAAAAATCATATAGAATGAAACCTCGAGTCACCATTCAACTATACACCAGTGGAATTTAAGACCCACATATGTTTAGATAACCCCGATTCGTACCATAGGTTGGCCTAAATGCAACAAAGCACCAAGATATAGGTAGGCAGTTTCTGTTTAAATGATAAGCAGCTGAAATCACAGGTTTTTCGCTAGTTCTAATAGCAAGTTAACCTCTGATGTACTGGAAAATAGTTTTAAATTGTGCCAAGTACTTATTAAGTGCACGGAGAAAGTGTTTTCTGCCGCTTTTAGCTTACTAATAATTACTATAAATTTTAATAATGCTGATACTGAAACCAAACTCCTATTCAGAGGATCTTGAAACTGGGGAAAGTAAGCATAGTTCTTCTAAGCAGTTCTACTGAATGTATCAACGCTACCCAATAGTGAAGTAAGAACATCTATAGGAACTTCAAATATCGATTAAGGCTAAACTCATCCAACGGATACCCTCAATTCTCATTGATACAAAGTGTCATTCATTTTCTAAAGCGGTTATAACAAGTAAAATGGTATGGTCTAATAGCAATCCATAGTACTAAATTAACCCGTATTCTCTGATTTGCAGTGAATTATGAGAAATGAATCAAAATAAACTAGAGTCGCCTATTTTACTCCATCAAAATCGAAGAAAAAGAGCACTCAAATGTGCATATGAATAATAACAATATTTGAGACTCAATAATAAACTAAAATTCACCTACTTTAACTAAATAGAGGAACGATGAACGAAACATAAAAATACATTAAGAATATATATGTAAAGAAGACATACTCTGTTGCTGTCATTGGAGTGTACAGTCTGGGTCAGGCATAATTAGTCAACGCATCATAGAATCCAAATCATCCGTCATGGAAACTTAAAATTATTTTTGGAAATAATGCGATTCCATCAGCCAAACACAGCAATTTTACGCATGCGCTATTGGACTAATCAGGAGCTTGCGTTAACGCTCAAGTAGCAGCGACCAAGAGATTCTTAACTCTGATTGGCCAATGCGTGTAATCGATAGGTATAACTTTAGAGCGCGCGAATATTATGAAAGTGTGGGGCTGAGAATGTAGAGAATTAGTCTAAATCCAGGATGGTTTTGCGTACTTCCGTCTCAGGACCTTAAATCGCGATTTGCATTGTGTTTATGAAAATTCGGCCTTTAATTTTGATTATGCGCAATTTTTTCTAGATTCCTTGCAGGTGTAAAATTCGAAAAAAATTGCACTAAATAATGCTTTGGTTGTTTGTCCTCAAATTGCGTGGTATTGCCATAATTTAAACAACAAGCAAATCTGCACATTCACTCCATAAATAATCGATGTTCTAAATTAATTAAGCTGTTAGATTGATTGCCCTTTACAACTGACAAGAACTTTCATATTTTGCTATTTATATCGTGACTGTTTTGAATTTTGTTTTTTTTGGCATACCTAGTTGATCTTATCAATTTAAATACTCAATTTAGTCTGGCCGACTACTTAAATGCCCATTTCGCAGGATGCTTTAATACCAGATTGATTCTAGGCGTTGATAGGCGAGTTATTTCGCTACTACGTAGAGAAATGGGAATTATTATAAATCACCATACATTGTGCACGAGATGACATTTAAGTAAGATGAACAACAATCGTGCCCAGTGTAGTATTAAATATGGGAAGGGATGGACGTGAAGAGAGTATTGAAGTAAGACTATAAAGAGTTGTAATCTAGATTAATTAAATCATTGTGTACCGTGTCATATCCAAGTGATGTAAATACATTGACAGCTGCAGTGATAGGGAAACTTCTTCCCACGATTTTATTTATTTATATCAAATGGCAGGCGTTTTGATAGTTATCATTAGCCCTTTGGTTAACTTCGGGCTTCACAGAGGGGAATAAACATCAAAGTAAAAAAGTTTATTAGGGGNGTCAAGGTTCGTCAAATCAAAATCACCTCTATTAAAGTCTGACCTATTTTCAACTGGTTGCTCCTAGCTGAATGAAAAGACGAATTATTTTTGATAACATGACTTTGGCAAAACTTCATTGCTATCAGTAATGAATTTTAATGTCCTATAGGACACAGCTTTTATCAAAGTGTCTAATACTGCCATTACTAACTATGAAATATGATGTAAACATAGATTAAAAACACCTTCAAAAATTTCATTGCCTGTCAACGTTTTTAAATTACGTTCTTTTTCTGATCCACGGAGCATTTCTGCCAACACAGCGTAATATTCGGGCTGCTCAAGATGAACGCTGGAAAATAGCCCACGGGGCGTATCTTTTTTGAGGTCTTCTGAGGTGTTTGGAATAGCGGTCTGATCAGTTATCGCTTCAGGTCTATGAAGTTTCAGAATTCTAAGATAGTAGGGGGGGGGGGGGTTAACGCGCGTCAAGATGACTTTTCAGTAGTCTCTTTCTTTGGTTTATGAGTTAAGGCTGCGTACTGAAAAAGAAGATTTTTGTGACTAAGTACACAGATTTGGAAATAAGTGCCTCTCACACCGCCCTCCTGTTTCTTTTCCATGCAACACGAGAATTCGTCTTTTATTAACATCGTCAATAAATTGTTCATCAAAACATGCAAAATTAGGCGGAAAGTTTTCAAACATGGGAGACAGGTATTCCAGCCACCACAAAAGCTTCCACACCGAAAAATGGAGTACTGCGTGACAATTCTTTGCGCAATCAATTTTAGTATGGCCACTTTAACTATGAATCCACCAAGATGGGAGGTTGCTTGGATTGATCCAGTAAGACTGAGATCAACGTGAGATCAAGGACACTTATTTCTTGAGCTGTTTCGGTTGAGCAAGAAACAGACATAACTTGACTAGCATTAACCCGCCACTTTCGATCGGTTAGGAGGGCAAATCGGCATTGGTTTGGATCGAAAGCGATTACATTGGCCAAGAAATTTCGTGTGCTAGACCACGGAAGGCAATTCACGGGCTTTGGAGTAGGCAAGAGTACAATAATCTTCATGCTGTCTCCTGAGACCACATAGTTGATTTTTCTATGGCCAAGCAAAGAGTATGATTGCTGCTTGGATGGTGTTGGCCAGGGGTCTCGTCGGGATGGAACTAATTTAGATATCAAAGTTTTAATAGAGTGCATGAGATTCCCGGCTTTTTCACTGTCTCTGAATGATGGTTGCAGCTTCATACTGAACCAGAGACAAACTAGTGAACGCCGTAGGAGATATTGCTGCAAAATGGCTGTGGATGACTGCTTTTAACATAAGTGACGGGAAAAACCACGAGAATATTTAGCCTCGATTTCGGCAGACAAGCACTGAAAGTTTTCTAAGATATTGGTTTTTTTTTGTTGAAAACAAAGACTTTCGCCTTCTAACCTGTAGAAGTCATCAGACACAGTAAGCTATTTATGTTCGTCACTTTTTATGTCATTGTTAGCCAACAAAGTAGTCAACAACTCCAGAATTTTGCAGACTTCAGTAATTTTCCCGAAACTATGCTAAGCAACGATCTCACTATTTACCGCGTTTTCACATATATATGTGAATCCTACATTTAATTACTTACTAAGCAATTAATAAGCTGATAAGTTGACTTTTTCTTACCTAAAATTTATTCACTCAAATCCAGCAGCAGCAGCAGCAGTCAAAGTTAAATTTACCACCGATATATTTACTAATTGGAAAGTGTTTAAAATTTTGTTGTGGATAATAAAATTACCTTCGTAGTGATGATCGAATATTTTAATTTAATGTGAAATTTTTATTTTGGAAAGTAATTAGGCTATCACCGCATAATGCCCACTCGGAATATTCCAAAATAAATAAGACAACAAAAATTCTGAAATGAAAGTATTAAGGTATATAATGCGAATAGAATGAATAAAAAAGGAAGTTCACACTGTTTTAAATTTTAAAGTTTGGATTTCAGTAGACGTCTCCTCGATTCCTGATCTATATTATTTTCTATTTTCTGATCTTATTGATCAGCTGGTCTCATTGCGTGTTTCTTCAAGCCACAAAGATTCATTTGAAGCGTCTTTTAACCAGACGCAAGTAGACATTTTAAGGGTAACGGAAGTTACCTCGTGAAATGTGACCACGACAAGTGTATCCCACCTGTCCATTTGTCCAAAAAACACTAATTGGAGATTTCAATAAGCGTTGCCTTATGCAGCCCCACTAATTATTATTTAACTAGAGCATCCACATTAAACTACTCACTAACTGTTATTTTCTTCTCAGTTGCTCTATGGATCTGCATGATCCGGGCCAACGATTTGCATAGCTGGATCAAGCATGCTGAGATCGCATGAGTTGACTTTCTGTGTGTAACAGTGCCAAGTCAAAAAAATACAATTGCGTTCACTTAGACTCCAATAGCTTAAGAATTTCAAAATTAAGCGCACTATGACTGGCGTGTTAAGGCAGGAAAAAAATTATTTCAAATTACGGTGGTCTTAGCTGCAAAACAAGTTTAGTACAATCCAATAATTTCAACATATATATTTGTCATAAATGTCATAGAGTAAAGTGCTTGGTTCATTGGTGTAGGCTAATTTAATTACTAGATATGTTAGCTGTAATGACATTAGCAGAAAATATTTGAAATTTGCGCATTTTTTTCAGAACCTAAGAGTGCAGAGGAGAGAGGGGGGGAATATTTGGGAAATTCGATTTCCATTTTGCGCTCATTGTTTGATTGAATGGCAGAAAGAATGAGGATCAGAATTTTATTTTTTTGGACTTGGAAATGAAACCTGTACCTCGGTCTCGCAATCCGAGATTCAGAGACGTCTCTTTAACCGAGAAATCCATATTCAATCTCTTGGTTTCATTCCTGTGTCCACTGGCCTAGAAGGTGAGCACATTGTTCGACCTAATGATCATAATCGGGATTTGCGAATTGTATATTAATCACTATACACAGCCACTGGCATAACCTACCAGATTGATTATAACGGATCAGGAGAACAATTTCTGAAAGTATTATCTTGCCAGATATGGGGTGTGCGATAGACTTACCTCCACGTGGCGCACCCTGGGCAACGAATATTAATACGGCAAAAAGTTTATTAACTGGCAGTTGACTTCTCACTTCAAACTACCATCAGCTCAGTCTATGGCATATTCGACTACTCCACAGTACTCACCTCACCTTTTCTCTACCTTTATGTTTGCCTCTTACATCTTTGAAACACTCTTCTGTCCCCCCCTCTAGACTTTTTTCAATTTNTGGCCGACTACTTAAATGCCCATTTCGCAGGATGCTTTAATACCAGATTGATTCTAGGCGTTGATAGGCGAGTTATTTCGCTACTACGTAGAGAAATGGGAATTATTATAAATCACCATACATTGTGCACGAGATGACATTTAAGTAAGATGAACAACAATCGTGCCCAGTGTAGTATTAAATATGGGAAGGGATGGACGTGAAGAGAGTATTGAAGTAAGACTATAAAGAGTTGTAATCTAGATTAATTAAATCATTGTGTACCGTGTCATATCCAAGTGATGTAAATACATTGACAGCTGCAGTGATAGGGAAACTTCTTCCCACGATTTTATTTATTTATATCAAATGGCAGGCGTTTTGATAGTTATCATTAGCCCTTTGGTTAACTTCGGGCTTCACAGAGGGGAATAAACATCAAAGTAAAAAAGTTTATTAGGGGGGTGGGGGGGGGGGGTTGAAAGAAGAGGGTTTCAAAGATGCAAAAGAGACAGACATGAAGGTAGAGAAATGGTAAGGTGAGTACACTGGAAGTGGTAGAATGTGGCACACAGTGAGGTGATGGTAGTTTGAAGTGAGAAGTCAACTGCCGGTTAATATACTTTTTGGCCGTATGAGAATACTTTGCCCAGTGTTCACTACGTGGGAGTAAATCTATCGCGCACTCATTGTCGATTATTTCCACGCTTCGATTACCGCAATTAGGTGGTTGAGAATGGTATTGACATTTTACAAATGAGTATTCGCTAGTGTCATTCAAATCACGAATGATGGAAGGGTTCCGACTCTAATGAGAGCGATAACGAAAATATAGTCCTCCTGTGACAATTTGGTTGTTTTATGTGCTGTCCTCACTCGATTCCAAACTTCAACTTTTAGTCGCAACGAAATTTGATGTGAGTCAAATAAGACCTGCCTTGAATGAAAGCCAGTAGTGTTCCTGAGGATCTCTTAATAACTTTTCGCTGTTTTCAAGAGCCCAATAGACCACTCAATGAAACAATTGTTTTTACTTATTAATAAAGCCATTGTAAAAGGATCTTTTTATTTTACCACGGAAAACCAGTTTGACTGGGGAAACACCCTTTGTGCATAGTCATCTACTTCAAATAGTGCAATCACATTATATATATATATATATTGATTGATTGATTGATGGGTTGACTGAAAAATGAATATTTTACACGCGAAAAGTAGTCGAAATCATTTAAATCATTCTATTCTCGCAGATTTTAGAACCCCCATCATCACTACTCGTGTCCATGCGTCCGGCTAATAGATTGCTGTTTACACTCGATCACTTTAAAGGCCATTTGTTAGTTTGGTTAAATTGTTTACTTGACCAAATCACTAATTTAACGCTTTAACGCCCAACCGCACTCACTCGTGTCTCACAGCAGACTGATGCCGCCAACGTGATGAGTTTGGTGGTGTATCAGGCGAAGGCTATAGACACGTATTGAATAGGTTTCAAACGACAATAGCGCCTTCTGTTACGAGTCTAGTATCGACGGAGCTTATTCTGAAAGAGAACCGTTCTGTCTTAAGCAATGCATTAACTTCTCTGATGGTAATACTAATAAGGGTTTAGTAATTCTTTGCTTTCGACTCATTTGCACTAACCCGACACAGGTACTTCTCTTGAAAACTTTCTGTACCAACTTCTATTTATATTACCAACAATGGGGGTGCGCGATAGACTTACCTCCACGTGGTGCACCCTGGGCAACGTATGCTTATACGGCAAAAAAGTCTATTAACCGGCAGTTGACTTCTCACTTCAAAATACCATGGCCCGACTGCTTGTCATATTCGACCGCTTCCACAGTACTCATCTTACCTTTTTCCCTACCTTTGTGTCTGTCTGCCTCTTTTATATCTGTGAATCACTCTTCTTTTCCCCACCCCTCGACTTTCTGCTACTTTGATGTTCCTTCCCCTCTGTGAAGCCCGAAGTCAGCTAAAGGGCTAATGATAACTATCAAAACGCCTGCCATTTGAAATAAATAAATATTGCCTACAATTCGAGCGCTAAT